TATTAATCTATGACTTATGCTTCAGAACGCCAATGTTTTAAAATAACGATTAGGAAAGGGCTGGAAAAAAACTCGCGTTGTCTCCCTGGCGTTGCGCCCACACTAAATAAATAAATAATTATCATTTCAGTATAATCATCTAAGGAAAACATTATTTATAATAACTTAATTTATAACCTAATATAATATTAATGACAGGAGTTTGACAGCAGTGTCACAATGAATTGGATTCCAGTGGACCAAATATTTTACATATTTTTTATTATCAACAATGCAACCTAAGTATCCTAGCAATTTAAAGAATTCCCTATGGCCATCTATTGGGATTGGCTATCGTTTTTTATTCTTATCTCGCTTATCCTTTGCGTTAGACAATTTTAATTTTCAAATATGTGTTTCACGTTACTTTCGGCACGTTCCGGTTTTCTATGTGGCGCGAGTTCTGGGACACCCTGTATATTGTATTTACTGCTGTATTTTAAATAAAACAACATTATGTAGGTATTGTAGACCTAGATGGCGTAACCTTTACTTTAATTTAGCCTCTTGCCGCTAGCGCTAGTGCAGTTTCCAATCTATGGGGTGTGTCTTTGAGTAACGTTTTTAATTTAAATACTAACTATTCACGAAACTACCGGTATTGAAATCATCAGGAATTTTTGGCATAGAAACGAAACTCCTATAGTTTCAGGTGCGTAGGCAGGGGGGCTGGAGGTTTAACCCTCCTCCCCACCGTAATGTGTGACAGTTTTGTTTTGAGATTTTTTAGAAATCCCAAGCCCCTATGAATAACACATTATAATCCTATAGAAACAGAGCGCCCAGGTATGGTAACAAGACTAGTATCAAAACATAAGTAAAGGAACATACCTGCATAAGAAGCGTGAACGAAACTTTAGCTATACCGGGTGTCCCTAAACTTAGTGGCATAAATTTAGTAGTAGAATAAGCAAGTCAAAATAAGACGAAAATCTAAATAAATATTTTTTCTACTCCTATTATGGAATATGACCGTTCTAATATCACTTTTATCTATGGAATTATATATATTCCGTAAAGTGTTACAGAATGAAATATTCTATCATCTGATGACAGAATAAACACTCGTGGCGACATCTCTGTTTTTAATATCTAACAAATTTTAGACCGATCCAACCTCACTTTCTTTCAATTCAATTATTTGTCTATGGTATTTTATGGAAACGTATACGTTTCTATAGAAGAAGTATAGTCTGAAACACGTTTGGAATTGCATATTCCCCTCTCGTGAAACCGTTAAACTCGCCTTCGGCTCGTGTGACAAACTTTTCCCTCGAGCGGAATATTCCTCTATATATATATATGCCGTATTCCAAACTTGTTACAGAATATACTATTTCCTAATTACGTTTTCCAAGATACAGGGTGATAAAGTGTTCCTTATAAGTTTTTTTGATGACTTCTATTATGGTAGACTTGGAAAGGTGATATTTTGCGAACAGTCACTTACTACCAATACACATATTCACACATAATTACAATTGTTTGAGTGAACACAGTGTACCCTTTTTAGTTTTTTCAATTTAAAAATAAAATTTGTTATAAGTATCCCTTTTAATGCGTTAATGCGATAAAACAATTGTAATCTCGAATATCTCAGAAACGGTTTATTTTATCGAAGTTTGAGAGGTCCACCTTTTTAATAGTAGCCGAACTGAGTAATCGAAAAATTGCATTAAATGTTATAAAAACCTAACCTCAAAGTTTGTATGGGCAATAAGCTTAGATCAACCCCGGTTTCTACGACACTGTGTATATATGTCTACGACTATATTCCTCTATATATATATATGCCGTATTCCAAACTTGTTACAGAATATACTATTTCCTAATTACGTTTTCCAAGATACAGGGTGATAAAGTGTTCCTTATAAGTTTTTTTGATGACTTCTATTATGGTAGACTTGGAAAGGTGATATTTTGCGAACAGTCACTTACTACCAATACACATATTCACACATAATTACAATTGTTTGAGTGAACACAGTGTACCCTTTTTAGTTTTTTCAATTTAAAAATAAAATTTGTTATACTTATCCCTTTTAATGCGTTAATGCGATAAAACAATTGTAATCTCGAATATCTCAGAAACGGTTTATTTTATCGAAGTTTGAGAGGTCCACCTTTTTAATAGTAGCCGAACTGAGTAATCGAAAAATTGCATTAAATGTTATAAAAACCTAACCTCAAAGTTTGTATGGGCAATAAGCTTAGATCAACCCCGGTTTCTACGACACTGTGTTCACTCAAACAATTGTAATTATGTGTGAATATGTGTACCAATTGGTAGTAATTACTACCAATTGGTACACATACACTTAAGTGACTGTTCGCAAAATATCACCTTTCCAAGTTTACCATAAAAGAAGTTATATTAAAAAAAACTGATATATCATTTTTTTTAATATATATGATAAGTAACACTTTATCACCCAGTAACTTGGAAAAATATTTATTTAGGTTTTCGTCTTATTTTGACTTGCTCAATATTTTTTTTAAATTTATGCCAATAAGTTTAGGGACACATTGTAGAAACGAAATTATACATAAATCTTTGAGGTATAAAATGCACTGTAAAAAAGGATTTCTTAGATTTAGAAATTTATTTTCTCAAAAATATTTACTTAAATGGAGTTAATTTGATTTGTTTTAAGACAAATGTTTTGTGATGACAATTTGTTCAATTTCTTTTAAATAGTAAATGTATTTCTTGAAAGAAACCTCTTTGTTCAAGAATTTTTCTTCATTGCCCTTGTGGAGATTTTTATCTGAAAAAAGTAAAAATAAGAGTTTTGAAATTCTTACTTTCTCTTCAAAACTCAGAATAAGACTTATTAAGTCGGAAAATTCAGAATAAGAGCAAGATTTGGGAGTCTTCTGGAAGACTCTTCCAGGAAGAGTTATTCTGACTTCCAGCAAATAAATTGTACCTATAGGGATACAAATTTAATACATATTCGGAATTATTCAGAGATGATTTATTTGGTTATTGTAAAATAAAACACGAAAAAAAGTATTAATAAAATATTTTTTCTGTGTTGTTATAGGCAAAGTTTATTGCAGTTCATCATAATAACACAGTCGAAACATAGGTGGGTAAGTCTCACTTGTAGAATACATAATATGCAATTGTTGAATAGATAAGGTGTAATAACACTGTAGGGAGGTGAAAATATTACAGCTAAACGCTCGGACACAAACTTAATTTTTGGTCGTGGATTACAAATCCGTGATTGGTTTAGCGGTATCAGGTCAAAATTCAAAGGTATTCAATTTTCAAGTTTTGGAGCATCCCATTAGGAATCAGCCTGTATAAATTTAAAAAAATCAATTGGGCTGGACCCCCACATCAGTTTAAAATTAAAAAAAAATCTTGCAAAATTTGAGGTTAATTCATCAAAAGAAACAGAAGTTTTTTTTAGATAACTTAGCGACTTAATTCCGAGAGGGGTCTTAACCATCGTCACTGTCTTCCACGATCGGGAGATTTACCAGCCAGAGTAAAACTTCGTATCACATGTACAGTTGCGGGATACGCAGGAGAACCGAAAGGGGCTAAATCACTGTATATTGGCGCTGATGGGGCCAGCTATACGTTCCTCAAACTCATACTCAGATAAAAATCATAAAGCATAAAAAGCAAAAAGTTACATGAAATAAATTCTTTATGAAGACCACCCTGGCGAAAATAAAATGTGCAAAAAGTGTGCAAAATTATTTGAGAACAATGTGCAATCTTTTAAAAAAATGATGTGCGGAGGTTGGGAAATGTAACATGATACAATATGCAAAACCAAAAATTTAAAAGTGTGAATAATCACTGGACAATGTTCTAAAGGGAACTCCTTTTGATTTTTCACATTGTTTGCACACTGTTTCTTACCACCTGTGTGCCTATTACAAAAACAGATTCTTTTTGGTGACCTATAAAGTCTTTTAAATTTACACATAATTGAAATATAAATATCCTTATAATAATATTAATCAAATAAATATTTTTTTTTCAAAAAAATTAAAAAAAAAAATACCCACAAGGTAGGTCCTACATACTGTATTTTATTAAGAAAAATACCTGCACTGTCAACTCCACCAAGGGGATTGCTTTGATCTTAGCAATAGGCCGAGAAGCGATACATAAGATGGAATCTACCTCACCTTTTAAATAAATGTTGAGAGATATATCTAAAATGTGCTTAAACTGTTGAGTGATCGCTAAAACTGTACAAACAATGTGCTAAAAAAGGTGTAATATAAGCGTCATAAATGAGAAATATTAAAGCGTGCTAACAGTGTGTATAAAATGTGACATGCGTAAGATAGACTGAAGCTTTGCAAATGTCTTTAAACAATGTACTAACACTGTGCAAACAATGTGCTAAAATATAATGTAATATAAGCGTGACATATGACAAATACAAAGCGTGATGTCAATGTACATAAAGAGTAAAAAAACTTAATTATTTCAAAAAGTGTGAAATTACCACAAAGTAGCGTGTATGCACATTGTTATAAAGACTTGCCCTCCAAATACACACTTATTGCACACTTTTCATGCACGCTTTATTTTCGCCAGGGCAGGGGTCTGTTCCCATGCCTAAATTTGTAACCCTTTTGTTACCCATATCGTTATTACCAATTACGTATTGGGCTTATTTCAATACATAGCGTTTCGTCGCTGATGGTATACCCAGAGTTTTGTTACTTTTTGTTTTCATACCTAAGCGTTCTAAATTTTGTTTCCATACATTACGTTTTGTAACTTATTTCTTCACGATTAATATACATTTACATATTTTCCAATATATTGTTTTGTTATTTTAAATTTTGGGGCTTTTTTGCTTTTTGTTATCTCTTGTGTACCTTTTTTTTAAATTAGTGGACACTATACCGGGAGAAATGACATTTTGTTTTTAAGCTATCAAACCCTGCTTTAAACATTTGTTTAAAAATTTAAAAACTTACTAAGGATTAATCCGGGCCGTGAGTTTCAAAAGTTTTGACATTCTTATTAATATTCGGAAAACCCTTTTTATATTTAAAATAAAAATGTTTATAATTACCTTGTATTTTTGATTGGTTATATTATGAAACATAATTGTATAGCTACCCAATACTATAATGCGATAAACCGATAAACCCTTGTAAACGAATTCATCCTCATAAAATTCCGTTATATTAATTTTGTTCTTTATATTTAACACCAATTGATAATGGTGTTTGAAATGGCTTGATTCCTGTTCGTTAAACATCACCATGGCTATGGGTGTAACCAATTTTTCATGTTTAAACCACCAAAATATGTTTTTTGAAATTGCACACAGCTTAAATTGAAAATATTTAGTTTATTTTTGTATGCAAAGGGTGTTTCTTAAGAGATTTACTCTAAAAAAATATCGAACTAAAATAATTAGACCCATAAAGTAGTGGATGGAATGGCTTCTGGAATATTTTCACTCCTTAATGCGTTTCAGAACGGTTACGCTCTGTATCGTGGTAAACAATGCCAACACGGTAGTAAAAAATAAGTATTAAAAGTAATCTTGTTTTATGCCAATTTAATTGCCATGAAATTATCTTTGAAGCAAAGCCAACACCACGAGTTTCATGTGTTTTATTTCTTTTTAGTTATATACCTTTTAAAAACACCATTTAGGTGGGCTGAAAAGTCCAACAACATTTTTACCCCTTTCAAAATTTGCCTTTTCATAAATGGATTTTTTTCTTGTGTTAATCAAACATTTTTTTTTGAGGAAAAAATATTATCCAAGTCTAACGTGAATTTAGACTTGGACGATAAACATGTGTTTTTCAAACTTGGCCACTGGCAGCTAATAATCTGTTTAAAAACTTTAAGAGGTGGATCCAGGAAATAGCTATTTACCTAACTAGTGCAGAAAGTGCTACTTTTCCGCACGCGACGGAAGTTGAACGACCTACGCGTAGCGGAGGTCGGTCATCAGTCGAGTGTTAGGTACAATGTTTTTTCTATAATCGTACGTAAGGCAAAATGATGTATTTACAGCGTCAAAAATATTTATGATAAGCAAATGTCCAAACAGTGTTTTCCTTAGCTACTTTTATTGTTTTTATATAAAAAAAATTAAAAGTAGCTAAGGAAAGCACTGGAAAACACCCCAAACCAACTAACATTAAATACAAAGTCCGTTGAGTGAAGTCAATGGTAAGTCCGTAAACTGCTCAAAATGTATTCATATAATCGTTTATTATAATAGCTATAGCAAATACTCGTAAAAACGTTCTTTTTTTAGGACTAAATATAGTTCTTCTCTTGTGATACACTTTTTAGCTCCACAACTTGAAAATAAAGACGAAAACACTTAAATGTGGAAGTATGTGGAAAAAAAATAATTTCCTCGTAAAACCAATATTCATGCCATTGATTAAGCTGGCGCTAAAAGCAAAACTTTGCGAAACTTTTTTTATAACCTTTTATTAAGTTTAATAATAAAATAAACAATGCAAATTTTCCTCTGTTTAGATAATTGGATAATTCACATAGAGAAATTAGATTTACATCGTTAATATATTATATATACGTTGATACGTTGATTGAAGTACTTACAACATGGTAACACATCCATTTTAAAAGTTTTAGGTTTACTTCGCGGTGACTGCAAATTTACACAATGTATACATATTAGCACTAAATTTGGCAAAATCCAGGTTGCGCGCACTACCTGAAAACACGCGAACAATATGACATTTTTTTAAACCTGTCTTTATCCGTTTTACAATTTTTTTGTTGCTTCTAAGGTTTTAAATATTTGGGAACATTTTGCTATCTAAATAAACGAATATTATTGTATTTTGTTTTTTTTACTTCTGTCGCCGTAAATACCTCATTTTGCCTTACGTGAAGCGTGAGGAAAATTAACTAGTTTTTGGTATTTTTTTAATATTGTTTGACAGTATAAACATCAAATTAATTTTAACAGTATCTGGACCATAACGTTGATGGTTAGCAAGTCTATGAAAGGTCGGAAAAATATACAAGAATTATCTCTTTTTTTCGCAACATTTACAAAATGTTTGAAGCTCTTTAGCAACCGAAATTTTGATTTTTCTGGTAACAGTTCGATGTTTACATTTTTGGCTTTTTTAAGAATGTCTTCCTTTAATAATATTTTCGCCAATTTCTTCCTCAATTTGCATTTTATATTCAAAAAAATTTAGTTGGACGTCTATTTTAACAATCAACAAACAAACTTAAGTTCATAGCAACGACGCACTATTTTTAAAAGCAGCGTTTTGCGGAAAAAATTCAATAACTTTTTTATTACAAATGAATATTATTTTATATTCATTACATATAATTAACTATATTTTAATCGAATTTTTTTTCTTTTTTACTGTATTATAGGTATAAGGATTATAACGTATAATTAACTATAAGGTTTTTAATTTTTGAATGCGTTTTTAGATGTTCATAGAGCATCAATTGCGGAAATAAACCAATAATTTTTATATTGCAAAAAAATATCGTTTTTTATATTTTTTACTTTGTTAAATAAGGCTTATTACGTATGATTAAGTACATTTTAATTGGAAAACATAACGGTTTTTATTTTTTAAATGCGTTTTAGATGATATTAGAGCATTAATTCAGGAAATAATCAAAAAACTTTATTATAGCAAAGAAATACTTATTTTTTTATTTTTACGGTGTTAAATAAGACTTAATAGGTATAATTAACTATATTGTAATAAAAAAATAAAGGTCTTTATTTTTTAAATGCCTCGCGGTGAAACGATTTCGAAAATAATTCAATAACTTTTTTATTGCAAATAAGTACATGTTTTTTTAACTATCTTAAGCACACTTTAAAAGATAAATAAACATAATTTAAATTTTAACATTTATTCCATTAATAATTCTTTAACTTATTCTGAATTGATTTTCATCCAAATTTGGAAATCTTTAAATTTTCAGAAAATAGACTTACGTCTTTGTCACTATTTAAAAATAGTTCTGTTAAAAACTAAAAAGAAACGCAGGAAGTACTCATTTTGAAAAATCACAAAATGCAATAGTCTAAGTTAAGATTGCTTTCTCTATACCGGCCCGGTATTACCGGGTATTACCGGGTATATCTGAGAATAGGCGCACCCCTGTAACTTTTTTTATTTATAAAGATAGACACATGAAATTTTGCATGGTTAATTAGGATATAAAATGCCAATTATAAGAGAACAAAATGAATTTTTTGAACTTCCGGTTTCGCCGGAAATAATACAAACTTTCGATTTTTAAATGGAATGCCCTATACATTTTTACATTCCTATTCTCAGATACACCCGGTATATGCAAAATATTATTACCTTATAAATAAGCGAAGAATAATGTTCAACCTAATAGTTTTTACCTTTAAAGATGCAAAACAAGGAATTATTAATTAATTTATAAAATAATATATATAACGTTGAAATCTCGGTCCTGCGCGTCATGATGCCCGAGGAGAATCCGAAAATTCAACTTTCGGCCCTTGTAGTGTAATATACTATTTTCTGCCGATAAACCATAGTGCGACGTAGGTATATGATTGTTGATGTATTGTTTCCTACATCAGTGCACTAGCGCGGAAAAATGCAACTTTCAGAACGCATATGAGTGCGGAAAGTAGTTACTTTCCACACGCTCATAAAAAAATTATTTTTCACTGACGTAGGAAACAATACATCAACATTTACAAACCTACGTCGTTGCTATGAACTTAAGTTTGTTTGTTGATTGTCAGAATAGACGTCCAACTAAAATTAGACTTACCCGAACACATTTTGAGTATAAAATGGAAATGGAGGAAGAAATTGGGGAAAGTATTATTGATGAAGTACCTACCAGAAAAATCAAAATTTCGGTATGCTAAAGAGTTTCAAACATTTTGTAAATGGTATACCTACAAAAATTTATAAAATTGTTGTTACTTTAAAAAAATACCATGGAGTTTGTGTTAGTGCGAAAATCTGGTAATTAGTCTCGGGACTTTTCAGCCCATGTAGTATATTAGTAGTCATTAGTAGTGACCCTCGCGGAATTTTTTTAAAAGTTATTCTCCACATGCAAATCATTTTTCGAATTTTGACTATATTTTTTAACTCTTTTGTTATTTTTTGTGTATAAATATAAACTAAGAAGTTTTTATAAAATTACATAGGTATATAATATTATTTTCAGAAAATAAGACAAAATTGACGTTATAAAGGGTGTTCAAATTTGACCTTCCGATTTAAATTGACCGCCATATCTAGTAATCTTCATTGACAGTTTTTCTATAGTAACATATCTCAAGTAAAAACTTTGCGGTTAGTAGTTTCTTGGTCAACATGGAGCAACTGTCCATAGAAGAACGAGTTTTTATTCTAAAAACTTATTACCAAAATGGAGAAAGTTTTGCTGAAACCAGTGATGCCAGATCTTTAGCCCTGAATATCCGTATTTGACCTAGTAGTATGGTGGGGATTAAGGAAAAAAAATCCGTATAATTCCGTATTTCGTATTTTACACTTATTACGTAATTTTTTTTATCAATAATTAGACTAATTTAGGGGAAATTTAATTTCCATGTTGATGATTTATTTTTTAGAATAAAAAACGTAGTATAATTTAATTTTTAAGTCTTGAGCAAGAAGGCAATTCTTTTAATTTTTTTTTTCTACTCCTATTATATGGAATACAACCGTTCTAATATCACTTTTTAATGTTAATCGTTCTTTAACGTTAATTTTTTAATATTTCCGAAACACTTGAAGATACGTATAGGACATTGTACATGAAATATGTCTATAATTTTCTGAATAATCCAAAAATTGAATAAAATACAGGGTGTTCCATTTGAAATTTAAAAGTTGGTATTGGCCACTGATATATGAGACACCCTGTACAAAAAGATTTTGTTAAAAAAAAGTGCGCAACTAAAAATACTAATCGACGTGTCCAAGCATTTTTAGGAACATGCCCCCATTTATGTATTATCGAATTTATTCCATTTGGCTGATACACACTGTATATTCCTTAGAGTATTACAGAATGAATTATTCTATCGGATGACGGAATAAACACTGGTGGCGACATCTCTGTGTTTAATATCTAACATATTTAAAAAAAAATCAAACTTCATTTTCTGCTAATTAAATTATTTTTTTATGGTACACGCAGTGGCGTTCAGGACAGGCCCCGCAGGGCCCGCGGTGCGGGGGGCCCCCCGACCTTTGGGGGGCCCCGTAGATAACCACATTGGGTGGTATAAGTGACAAAGGGGCCCCAGATTAAAATTTGCGGGGGGGCCCCCGATCACCTTTGCAC